ATGAAGGCCTCTTTTAAGTGTCCTTTCTGCTTCCTTTGAGCTAAATCTGAAGCAGTAGAGCTGATGGTTCTCACCCCATAAAATTTAAATGATCTTAGCCAAGATTTTCACATTTTCATTTTGTACCACCGAGGACAAGAGAGAGCCGAAGGTAAAATCTTACATCAACTTAATCCTAAGCATCGCACCATGTGTCAGGGTTCGAAGTAACAGACCCAAAAGAATCAAAACTCTGAGGTTTGATGATTCCTCAAAGTACAGATTTATTAGGCAAGTCCTTTTGGCACAGCTGCTGAAAAGCTGACTCTGAAGGTCCAGCGGTTTCGCCCCCCCCCCAATTCAAAGTTCTTCCCCCCAGTCCACTCATCCATCACATGGTCCAATTAGGTCACAGTCCAAGTCCAGCTGTTTTCCTCATGTGCCTCACCAGGTGCTGATGAGAACATCCTTGGTTCCCAGGGGAAAGAATTCTATTTTGGCTACACATGCCCAGCTATCTCTACTCCCCCCTCCCATTCCCACAGCTCTGCCCAGCCTCGCTGTGCCAACCCTGAACATGATCCCAAATGGCTTTAGGATTGACACCATGTTTTGAACCAATGTGATTTGGGAGGAAGTTTGGTACTGTTCAAATACAGCAGTGGTGCTTGATCCCTTTTGCACCTAAGTTTGTGTTAACTTTTCTTTTTCTATTGTTGCAAGCAGGTGACAGATGGGAGATGGAGGATTCTGGCCAAGAGGTAGCAGCACCTTTGCCAAAAGACAAAAAGGAAGTTGCAGAAAAGTTGTATGGAAAGCAAAGTTCAGAAGAAAAACCATTAACGGAGGAGCTGGAGAATTGCTCTGGTTTACCATGTGCAGATATCAATGTCTTATTGGACGCAGATAATTGTCATGAAAAAGAAATGTGTTCAAGGTATGGCAAAACACTCCAAGGTGAATCTGGATTAGGTGGCTGTTGCCAAAGCCCTGCTGGAGAGAAACAAGATGAAAGCAGGCAATGCTCCGGAAGGAATTTTCCTCCTCCTCCTCTACGTGAAAGAATAGTAGAAGGGAAACCATACAATTGTACAAAGTGTGCAGAAAGCTTCAGTACAAGCTGTTCCCTTGCATTGCATAAAAAGATTCACAAAGCAGAGGATCCACACAAATGTCTGGATTGTGGAAGGACCTTCAGTCAGAAAAGTGATCTTAATTCACATAAGAAGGGCCACGAAGAGAGGAAGCAACATCGGTATGTTGATAGGGAAAAAAGCTTCGGAAGCAGTGCCTCCCGTACTTCCCATCAAAACCTCTACAGAGAGGAGAGGTTGCATCAACTCAGGGAGGGTAGAACGAGGATTACTCAGAGCAAGGAACCAAATTCCTGGAAAAAAAGCCCCACTGGGAAGAAATCATATAAATGCCTTGAATGTGGGAAGAGCTTCCGCTCTGCAAGTGACCTCACTTGCCATAATAGGACCCATACAGGGGAAAAGCCATATCACTGCATGGTGTGTGGAAAGAGCTTCAGTAATAAAAGTCAACTTAAGTCACACGAGAGGATCCACACGGGAGAAAAACCATTTCAATGCATGGAGTGTGGAAAGAGCTTCCGTCTCTCTGAACACCTTACTGACCATCACAGAATCCACACAGGGGAGAAACCCTTTAAATGCCTGGAGTGCAGAAAGAGCTTCAGTCAAAAAGGTCATCTTAAGTCACACGAGAGGATCCACATGGGAGAAAAATCCTTTCAATGCCTGGAGTGTGGAAAGAGCTTCCATACATCCAGCATC